GAGCTGGTGGTGGCAGTATTCCGTTACCTGAGTAGGTTGGAGTGACACCCACCCGAAATGGCTTTCGGGCTAATGCTGACACCGCCCCCGCCCCGTTAAAATTATGGCAAGTCTGGGAAGTACGTTCTAGGCCGCACCGTTAAGTTGGTGGGTGTAGGCCCAGTTGAGATGAACTCCTGGCTAATGCTGGACCTGGCACTGAACGCTAGTCTCATAAGGGCTAGCGTCAACCCACTGCATGGCCTCACTGCTTGCAAAGATAACCATGGGGTCCTAACAGCAACTACACCAGCGGAACCGGATAGCGGCTTCCCAGTTGGGGCCCAATTCAAATCAAAATGTCTACAAACCAAAAATCAAACACACCAACAGGCATTAGGGGTCACGCCGGCGCTTTGAGCGAAGAGAACCCCTTCAAAGTGAGCGGGAGAATAACGAGGTCGCCAGTAGGCGTGCAAACGCAGCCTCAGTTAGGACAGACGCTCCCAGAGACGCCAAACCACACACCAGTGGACGTGGAGGACGTGGCAGCCTTCGTAAAGCTGGGCGGCTACATAAACGATCTGGTTGCGATGCTGCAGGAAAACGATGGAAAAAGGCGGCACATAAACCAACAAATGCGCGACACAATAGACGGCATCAAAACGATGTATGAAAAATGCCGGCTTGATAAGGACGCCGCACGCACTTCTCGCAAGGAGACTAGGGATAAGAGTATCCAAACTTCCTCGCGCACATACGCACAAAAGGTGATGGAGCGAAGCGGTGGGGTCACGCCGCTACAGTATGCAAGCGGGGAGAAGCGAACACAGCCTGGGGCGAGTAAACGTAAGCAGCCCGGGGATGCGGACACGCCGACCGCTAAACGTCGTAACGTAGCCATCACGGGGGCCGCTGAACAGCACACCGCTAGCGCCCCTAACGGCCAACGCCCATCGAAGGACTTGGAGTGGCAGAAGGTCAGAGCGAAAATGAAGAAGAAAAGAAAGGCAGATCGGCTAAAAGAAAGACCTGCGAAGGGTAGACCCGACGCTATCGTCATAGCAGCTAAAGGCGAGCTCTCATACGCGGATATGCTCCGTAAAGTTAAGGACGAACCACAATTAAGTAAGTTTGGTGAGGCGGTGCAAAAGATAAGAAGAACGCAGAAGGGCGAGCTTCTCTTGCAACTAAACCAGAGCGGAGAGAAGGCGGAAGAGCTGAGAGCGGCAGTGGGCTCCTTTTTAGGAGGGGAGGCCGAAGTCAGGTGTCTGAAGCAACGTAAAATGGTCGAGTGCAAGGACATCGACGAAGTCACCACCAGGGAGGACATAAGCAGCGCACTTAAGTCCCAATATGGGGTGGCATCCGCAGAGGTGGTCAACTTAAGAAAAGCATATGGCGGCACGCAGACGGCGCTCATTACCCTACAGCAGGAGGAAGCCGCTAAGCTACTGGCAGGCGGGAAATTGCGCATAGGCTGGGTGATCTGTAGGATCAGAGAGCGCACACCTTTGTTGAGATGTTTCCGATGCCTGGAGTTTGGGCACATAGCAAAGCAATGTGCAGCTCCATCTGACCGGTCAAAGGCTTGTCGGAGGTGTGGAGAGGATGGCCATATTGCAAAAAACTGCACTAAGGACCCTTCCTGTATGTTCTGCAGAAAGACGCCGAATCTAGATGCTAAGCACGTGGCGGGAAGCGGGAAATGCCCGCTGTTCAAGCAGGCACTGATCGGTAAAGCGCGGAAATGAGAATAATGCAGATTAATCTCAATCACGGCGAAGCAGCTCATGACCTACTTCGGCAAACGGTCGCTGAGAAAGAGGTGGACCTGGTACTACTGAGTGAACCATATCGCAGGGCAAGTCAAGGCACTTGGGTAACCGACGCGTCCAAAAAAGCAGCAATTTGGGCGCCTGGTCCTACAGCACTCTTGGATGGGGACTGCCAGCACAGCGGATTCGTCAGGGCGACAGCTAAATATATATGCTACTATAGTTGCTACGCTCCTCCAAGCTGGACACAAAGCGAATTTCAAAGCATGCTAGATGAACTCGTCGCAGATGCCCGGGAGAAGCCTTCCGTATTAATTGCGGGAGACTTCAATGCTTGGGCCTTTGAGTGGGGCAGTAAGGCCTGCAATGCGAGAGGACGCAGCTTGCTGGAGGCTTTCGCCATGCTGAAAGTATCTCTTCTGAACGATGGGCAGCGAGATACGTTTCGTAAGGCAGGAAGGGGCTCGAAAGTAGACCTCACCTTTGTTAGCGACGGTCTAGTGGCCAGATGCAAGTGGTCGCTGAGTGAGGAGTACACAAATAGCGATCACCAGGCCATCTTCCTCGACATAGCATCCAGAGAGGACAGAGGTAATAGGTGGAATAAAACTACTGGGCCGAGGTGGAGAGATGCACTTTTTGACGAGGATGTCTTTAACACCATTATGGACTCCTACGTGGGTGGAGACGGTACAGCTGGTGAACTCCGGCAAAACGTAGCGAAGTTGCTGGTACAAGCATGCGACGCCGCCATGCCCCGAAGACGAAATACACGGAGAAGAGGGTCTCCGTGCCATTGGTGGACCGAAGAGATAGCGTCTCTAAGAGCGAACTGCTTGAAAGCCAGAAGAAAAGTGCAGCGCTCGAGAGGTAGGGAAAACTTCAATGAATTGCTCCTACTCTACAAAGACCTGCGCAATGACTTAAAGAAAGCCATAAGGGCCAGCAAAAGGAGAAGTCTTGAGGAAATATGCCAGGATGCCGATATTAACCCATGGGGAACGGCATATAAAGTGGCCTTGAAGAAGGTCAAAGGACAGAAGGCACCGCAAATCACGTGTCCGCTCGCGCTCCGAAGAATAGTTGCGACACTTTTCCCGCAGAGGCCGCCGTATGTGTTGGTAAACCTCCTCGGCAGGGAAGAGGAAGCCATACCAGCAATTTCTGCCGACGAGCTTTTAAGCGCCTGCAAGCGGATTGGGGACAAAAAAACCCCTGGACCAGATGGAGTCCCAAACAAGGCCTTAAAGGCAGCGATACGTAGGAGGCCAGACGTCTTCATGATGTTGCTGCAAAGGTGCCTGGAAGAAAGGACGTTCCCGGACGTGTGGAAGATCCAAAGGCTGGTCCTTATTCCGAAGGCCAATAAGCCACTAAACGAGCCATCGTCATACCGACCCATCTGCCTGTTGGACACAATGGGCAAGGTATTGGAAAGGGTCGTATATGAACGCCTGCTAGCTGTGGTTGAAGAAAGACGTGCTCTATCGGATAACCAGTATGGATTCCGTAGAGCGCGGTCTACAATAGATGCCATAAGCCACGTCGTGGCGCTTGCCTCAGACGCCATAGCCGGTGACCGATGGAGGGGCGGTGACAAAAAGTACTGCGCCGTCGTTACGCTAGACGTTAAAAACGCTTTCAACTCGGCGGACTGGGGGCTCATCCGCAAAACCCTCATAAGGATACGGGTTCCAAGGTATATACTTGAGATAGTGACAAGTTACCTTTCGAACCGCACGTTAGTGTACGACAGCGATGATGGAAGGCAATCGCATAAAATATCGGCGGGCGTTCCACAGGGCTCAGTCCTTGGTCCTCTCCTGTGGAATATAATGTACAACGGCGTCTTTGAGCTTAAACTTCCTACCGGGGCAACGATCGTCGGCTTTGCCGATGATATAGCAGTCGTAGTGACCGCAAAACACGTCGCGCAGGTAGAAGCGAGAGCTAACGAGGCTATCGTGAAGGTGAAGTTGTGGCTAGAAGAGATGGGGCTGGAACTAGCAGAGCAGAAAACGGAAGCAGTCCTAATAAGCAGCAGAAAGAGCGTGGAAACATGCTGTATACGAGTCGGACAGCATACGATGCGGTCATCTCCTGCCCTGAAATACCTTGGAGTTATGCTTGACCATCGACTCAAGTTTAAGCAGCATGTTGAGTACGCTGCTGAGAAAGCTGCCGGCATCCAGGCGTCACTAGCAAGAATCATGCCAAATATTGGAGGCCCGAAATTCACCACCCGAAGGGTTATAGCCAAGGTGATAACCTCAGTCATAATGTACGGAAGCCCAGTTTGGGCCAGTGCACTGAAGGTGAAGGCAGTGTACCGAAAGATGGCGGCAATACATCGCCTTAGCGCCCTGAGGCAGATTTGCGCATTCCGTACCGTGTCGGAAGAGGCAGCGCTAGTGCTAGCTGGCACTCTGCCAATCGACATCCTGGCCGATGAGATGAGCCGCATCTACAAACGGCGTCGCGGCAACGAGCTCCCCTCACACGTTACAAGAAGCGAGGAGCGGATGGCCTCGTTAAGGATTTGGCAGTCGAGGTGGGAAAGAACGACCAAAGGAAGATGGACGTTCGTTCTTATCCCTAACATAAGACGTTGGGTTGACAGACGGCATGGAGAAGTAAACTATTACTTAACCCAGCTTCTGACTGGCCATGGCTGTTTCCGGAAATATCTTCACAGATTCGGGCACGACAGTTCGCCTAACTGCCCGGTATGCGAGGATATAGAGGAGGACGCAGAACACGTAATGTCCTACTGCAGCAGGTTCGAGAATGGAAGGCCTCAAGTGCCACCTAACGAGATAACAAGCGCAATGGTTGGCAGTGCAGCAGCCTGGAACGCCGTAGACGCATTCGCCAGCAATACGCTCGTGGAGCTGCGACGATTGGAGAGACAACGGGTGGAGAGCAGAGGGAGTGGAAGCCGATAGTGCATTCCACTGAGGTCCCACCATCAGGAGCGTGCTAGCGACAACCAGCCCCCGCGAAGTAATACCTAACGGTGGTCCCGCGGGGGAGAGTGGTAGACGAAGTGTGTGTGGGGGGTAGTTTTTAGTACGTATGCGCCAGGGATGGCGAATCGTGCATGCTGCTACTAAGACCCAGCAGTATCTTTCGAAGATTTTCTACCTCCAGCTCACAGAGCAAAACAAAAAAAAAAAACACACACACACACACACATGTGATTTTCTTAACAATTGATTTTTCGGTAAGAAATCAAACACTTACCACCGTAGACGACACATGTTACTTCTAGATTACCGCCTTCCTCATAAGGTCCAGCGCGTGAGTTAATACGTAAACGTCGTTCATTAAATATGCTGGGTTGTTGTGGCGGCACTGAAAGAAAAAATATACTTTTTAAGAAAAAGCCTACTCCTTAAGATGTGATTTAAAAAGTCAAAAAGGTAAAGTATTTGTATTACTAAGCACGATCAGATCGTATTTTCTATTTTTTTTAAATGCCTAGTCACTCGGGGGATGTCACCGATTCGTGTAACACAGGGACGAGCAGAAAGAAGAAGAACTGAAGTAAGAGAATGATATAGCAAGCACCTCGCTGCCTAGTGGGTCTAGATTAGTGTTGTGCCTTTACCGACTGAGCGCTCGCTACAACCACGATCGAAGTAAAGTCTACTGCTCTGAGATTTGAACTCTTGCGGAGTTTGTAGATTCACAAATTAGAACCAGAACTAGGTTGTGCTTAGCAGATGCTTTGCTAAGTTTCATAAAGATATGAAACGTTTCAGTGGGTATGTATAAACGATCAAATGTGTATCCGCCTCCAACCACCTCATTTCCTCCAAATTGATTTACGAAATATGATAATACCCTAAGGTAAGTTTTTTTTATCACTCCTAAGCTTTATGGGATGAAAACAAGAGAAATTAACCATATAAATTTACGAAGAATTTAATATGAGAAGTGAGTTAGATTAAGCCAAACAAGACCTTTGTGTTCCAAATTCATTTTGCATTTAATTTTTTTTTATTTTTAATCGTTTTTTTATATTTTTTCAAATTTTTTTCTCCGCTGTTGTGCTCCACAATCGCAATTGTTTCGCCAAATTTATATGAGGATTACGGAGTAGAAAAATATTTTTTCTATTTTGCATTTGCATGAAATATGCAAATAACGTAAAATGTATGTGCACTGATAGGTAAATAAGAGCCCCTCCGTGAGAACATACCTACAGGAACAAGCATGCACTCTTAGCGCATAGATATGTACATATTTTATTTTATCTACCTTAAGCTTTCTATTGTAGGCATTAGTGCGCTTACTGCCTTATACTGGAGCAAACAGTCAAAGTTTGGTCCGGAAGCACAAATATAATATGCTTAGAAATTTATTAGTATCTAAAAAGAAATTCTGGGACAATCAAAATGTGTTTGCTTGATCGTCTGTCCAGGTGAGAATCCTAAAAAGCTTATCAAACGGCTTAAAGTAAATATTTTTATGTAAAACTCTTTACATGTTTCTCATAAGAATAATGTGAAGGGTTCTGCTTAATTCAATTTGTAAGTTACGGCCAAAAATGATCTGGAGTCCCTGTTTCTGCTTTACCGACTAATCAATAACTCTGCAGATATTTCCTGTACATGCACAGGATGATGCCCAGGAAGAAGAGGGGAAATACAGAAAGAGATGGATGTGTGCCCAGTTGGTATCTATAACTACGACCAAGTATGACCAAACCGCACTGAGAAATATATCCGAACACCAACTTGGCAATATCAAGAATCGTACCTACTCGGGTATATGGCAGCTGTGCTGGAAATACTTTGAGTTAATAGCCATATATTTAAAGCACTCGTAGAAGGGTTTATCTACTAAGTTTCAAAAATTCTTTGGGGATACGAGAATGAACCTGTTCAATCTTCATTATTACAGTCCGTCAAGATTTTGACAGTGACGTCTCCTTAGAACAGCGAAGAGAAAATTACGAAGAAAATTAACAGATTCGTAGCTTATGAGTGCGTTTCGATTACAATGCATACATTCTCTCAGATTATTAATCTTTAATGCTGCTTAGCAATTTTATGGGAAACAAGTCCCTAACTGAACGCAGTTTCTTTGAAGTTTTAACATGGAGGGTCAAGTTTCGATTCTCCATTAATTAGAAGCACTTTTAAATGCATCACTGATATACTTTTCAGTTTTTTCTTTGCATTCTCATTCTCGCACCTTATGAAACATACAGGAATTTATCCCCAAAACATCTAATTGCTTGTCTATATATAAAAATATATATCTCTATGACAATAATTCAAATAACTGATGAGGATTAAAAGAAAGCTACCAAGAATATTGAATAACATTCTTGAAACATTTACTCTTCTCCGATCCATTTCAGTAATAAAGTAAAATGCAAAAGGATTTTCAAAGAAAGTCATGATACAGTCTTTAAATGTGAATAGAAATATAATCCTGGGAGACGGGGGCTTCAGTTCTTCAGTTAATCAGACAGATTTATTGTATGCTGAAATTGGAATTTTGTTATTTGCTTTAACCATTTTTCTAGTTTTGACGTGTTTGCTGTAATATAATCTTCTTTTTGTATTTGAATGCCGCCTAAGATTCTTTACGTATTTGTCTTTTTTGATTTGGCATAAATATTCGTATAAAGAACAAGCGGTTTACTTACCAACCACCTCTAAATTGACGTTACTGTTGCGAGTTTGGGAAAGTTTAAAATCTACTCTGCAACGAAAATTTCCAGCATCCTTTTCCTGTCGCACCAAAGCACAGAAAATAGAAAAAATTTTAAATGAAATTTAATTAAATTAAATTCAAGAACAACAACAACAAACAGCAACCACAATAATAGTATCATTTGCTAAAATACTTTATTCGTTATTCAATCAACGTTGGTGGACATATTGAACACAGATTATGGGACGAGCCGCCCTTGCGATAAAAATGAAAATGACTTTTTTGAAAACGAAAAAAATGTTCTCCTTGCAATCACTAAAGCAAAAAAGAAAAATAGTCTACATAAATAGACTGAAAGTGATTAGAAAGCCTGGGCGGACATCTCGTTGTCCATAGCTCCACTTGAATTAGGAGTTACATCAAATCGTGCAATCTTTAAAGAAATGGGGGAAAAATTGGGAATTATTTTCAAGCCAGAGAGACTAGCTAGACAACTTACATTACTCAAACACAGTGTCTTAGCTCGGGTGAAAGAAGGTGACAATGTTTGTGAGCATCTTAATGAATTCTGCCATGTCGCTAAAAAATTTAAAAAAATTTAATATCCTACTCGTTAGAACATACCAGCCATACTATTATTAAACTGCTTACCAGAATCTTTTGAGACGTTTCGTTGTGCGTTTTGAACAAGAGATCTGTTGTCAATATCAGAAGATTTTGGAATCATAATTGTAGAATAAAAGCGGTCAAATAGCAGGCGCACATCATACATGAACACCGGAAGTGAGATTGTTGTATATTTGAAAGCAAAATCTGTTGAGTTTTTCAGATAAAAGCACTGCAGAAGTGAAAGGTGCGTTCGATCTCAACGTCCCAAATTTACATAGAAACATGTTGTCGATTTTTAAAACCACCGTCAAAGACTACAGGAGATGCTTTTTGCCCCAAATAAGACCACAACTCAACTGTTTATCAAGTTTTGTTTGAAAATTTGCGTTATGTCAAAAAACAAAGGTACAAGTCATCTCGGCTTGAGCAAGCGAAGAAAATAAACATGTCTAATGGGATAAAACAGCAGTAAGATTACAATGCAAAGCATACATAACTGAGAGGCAGACACGGAAAGCTCTCCAAAATCAAATGCGTACAAGGACGATTTCTTACAGATTGTTTATAGAATATGTAGACCGTAAGAGTCGAACACTCATCCAAGAAGCGAGAATCACGTTAGAAGAAGTTGTTACGCGAAAATAGTTTTGGGCTGAAGTTTTGAATGTTACTTACCTGTTGGGAAAACCACTAAACGATGAAATTACAAGGCCTTACAAAATATGAACGAGCAGAATACTGTGCATTGCATTGATCAAAAGGATCAAGCGTTATCATTGGGTACACCTATGAAACAGAGACGAGTAAATTATAGTCTTTAGACGACAAAAGAATTGTTAGTCAAAATGATAACATTTGAAATCAAATTTATTTCAAAGCAAAACAATTTCTGACAGAAATAAGTGGAAACGCTCTTAATAACGACATACACGTGAAGATTCTGCAAACAATGGCGACGAAGCAGCAACTGCCCATGGGCCACAAGCTTTTCTCAGAGATCAACGGTGCACAAAAATGATTCTGATTATACATAGAGGTATCGCGTATGCATTGAAAAGGTCAAAGAAGTTCAATGTGACGAGGCACGCCAGTACGAAGTTTGCGAAATATCAAATTTGGCTTTTAATTATAACCTACTATCAAATGTAGATGCTATCAGAAGCAAAGATAGCAAATATGGAGAGCGGAGCAACAGAATATGAATTGATGTCACAAAAAGAAAAATTATTGATAACCCGGTCTTATTGCTTACCAATAAAAGTGGTTTAGTAATAAAGGAACGTTGTCAATATCGCAAATAGAAAACCTTGATTATCCTTATGTCCAGAGACAACGAAATACATAAGCGGTCTGAGATTTTGTTCAAAATTCAAACTAGAAGATTATTGAGAATTTTTTCTATTTCTGTTATAAATAATAATATGACGTTGCTTTCTCTCAAAGGTTTGCAAAGGAGAAACATATCCCAGTCTGTGTTTTTAAGTGTATACGCGTTATGGAATGTATATAAGTCTGTATATATGAAAAAAGACCAAACAGAAGATGTCTATATAGGAATTTTAAATCCTATGCTGGCCAAATGCTTTCAAGGAAACTGAATTTGATTAAAATCTGTCGATCCATTTGGCGAATGTAAAATTTATAATTTTTCGATGTGAAATAAACGATGAAAACCACACCGGTTGATTTTTTTCGTACATACGCACTTATATGTACACCATGGCGCATATTCACAGAATTGTATATGCTTCTGCTTTGCAAAGGCTTGTTAGAATCCGGAGTCATATTGATAAACTTTTAACAAGATACATGCCATACAAATAATGAAATTGGAAGAGCAAGTGTACAAACGGCTGCTGATTAACAGCGTCACTAACGTTGTTGATAATAGATACTCAAAAAGTGCGTAAGACTATTGTGATGTCACTTTTGAACAAAATGTTTGAACATTTAGTATTTCGTTGTCGTTGTTACCACGTATTTTCCCATTTACTCTTCCTGGTCACGTTCGGTGTGCGTAGATAGATGATGTTAAACCATGTAATGGACTAACCGGAATATATTTTTTTTCGTTTTTGAAAACCTTCGTTCATTAATCAATAAACATTGATTACCCTCACATACGTAGCCAAATAAAACAGAAAGAGGGAAAAAATGTTATTGCCATAGCTGTTGTTGTTGTTTCCTTGATTACGAATAAAATGACAATTTATTGAATATTGGATTTAATGAGAAATACCTTAACGGGATTTATAATCAATTCAGCCGGCTCTTTGTGTGTACGAAAGACGGCACGATCTTCAAGAACGTCTTCATCACGCCAATGAGACGGCGTCCCGGCATGAGCACCACGTGTATCATAACTAAATAAATATTAACGAAATAGCATACGAAAAAAACGTTTAAAAATTAAAAAAATAAAAGGAGAAAGGAAAAACAAACGAATGCGTATGGAAGAAGACCAGAAATACTGCTGGTGCATAAGCGCTTAAATATTTTAAGCTTAAATAATTTATTTTCCTGTCTTTACGCTACAAAGTGACTTTGTTTCCAATTTTCTTTTTTTTTTGTTTTCTTGTTTTTTTGGCCTTTTTGGAAGAAGGCCTTCACTTACCTATAGATGGGTAAATTGTTTTTATACCAAACTACCAATAACACTTTATCATCTGGTAAACTTGAGCCAACATCACATTTAATTTGAGCAGAGCTATTAACCAGCACACGTAATATTTCACCATCTGCACAGGGTACCGGAAAAAAACAAAAAGAAATAAATAAAAAATGATTATAAATAGTGCGACGTGAATCTATAAGTGGCTGTGCATAAGTGTATATATAAGTGCATGTTTGAATGTATGAGTTTTTGCACATACCTATAAGTATAAACATGACACAAGAAAAGATTTATTATTTAGCTGCAATTTTATTTATGGCTTTTTATTTCTTTACGAGCATTTGGATGCTTATACATACAGACTTTTAAAACGTAGCAAAAAACACAACAGAATATTCTCAATTTAATATAAATGAAGAGCTACAGCAAGAACAATAAAATATAAGAAACTCTGATAAAAATAAGTAAGACGACCTCCTCGCTTATAATATTGACTGGTATTGAATAGCTTGAGTGCCAGCGCCGGTTAAACGTTTGCAGCAATTGATGTTTCGTAAATAACAAAATTCAATTTGTAGTAATTGTTGCTGATATCGTTGTTGATGCTTGCAATATTATATCACTTTTTGTTTATCCCGCGTGCGCTTTTGCACGCACCCTTCGTATTAGAGTCAATCGACTCTAAATGATAAATAAATGAAACGCTACATTGATAATATTTTTTCGTCAAGTTTTAAGTTTTTAAAAAAACGTTCAATGAAAATATTTCTTTTCCAAAAAATTCATCAGCTTTGTACATCACAGAAACAGAAGTAAGAGAATTATATTCGGTCGTGACCGAATATTCTGTACCCATCACCATGGTCCTAAGAAAAGGAAAAAAACTAAATTTGTATACTCTATAATATAGGGTAGGCGTGGTAAATTTTTTCTATTTTTAGAATAAAAGTGAAGATTTATAAGGTGTATCTGTTCTACTTTATGAGTAATAAGCAAGAAACATGGAAAACAAAGATATTGTAAGTTTTTGTTGCACAGGCATGTGGACATTGTAGGCATGTTCTTTCAAAAGTTTGGGTCATTTTCAAATTCTTTTGCAAGTTTGTAAGCGATATCTTCCTTTTTGCGAACGAGAGAATGTTACAGATACTACACAGTAGGGCAAACGGACAGATGGGCAAATGAACGGACGGACATGCCTAGGTGCGTTTCGAAGTTGAAACTAGCCAAAACTGACCATCTTTAAATACTTTAAGGGGGTTTTGAGTCTTACTCCTGTGCGATATAAAAGGAGAACGAAGAAGAAAATAGCAAAAAATCAAATAATGACACACTATAAAATGAAGTAGGCCCAAAACCAATTTTTTATTCGTTTTGAAAAACGGAGATGTGCTCAGCTTAGGTGCTGCTGGAATCGTGTTATTCGACCGTTTTGATCCAAAAACTTCCAATGTTTGGAACAAATTTTATGTCGATATCTTTGTTTTTTCGGCCAGGAGACTGTTTGCAACAAACATTACACACAGGACCAGACAAGCGGACGAACAGCATACTTCGCATGCCTGGAGCTTTCTTCTGGGCCTTGTAAACGTTTTAACGAACGGAATATATCCCTAATCTTGCGATGGTGGGTATCAAAAAGAGTAAGAACAAGATGATCATTAAATACTGTCCAGTATAAATTCTACACTATTTTCATGTAAAACTACACTTTTTAACAAAGTTGTTAGCTTGATGAGATCTTAAAGAACATTTAGTACAGTTTTTTATATTATTATATTAGTAATTCATAATAATTATATATGGCGGTGGGGTTTAAATAAAAAATCCATGTAGTCCAAATTTCCTGCAGTTAATTCTTACGCTAAATGGACTATGGATTAGTTTTCATTAGAATATATTAAAAGGTAACCCTTTTTACTAAAAGGTCTACTATTCATGAGAACTCATATGTATATATATATATGCAACGGGGTCCAACAAATAGATCTACGTAGTTCACTTAATAATAATGAATTCCCATTTTAAATATGGCTTACAGTGGTTTATGTTTTATGAGAATCCCTCCACGTGATGATGTCCAAAAAATAAACCTAGTTGATTCAAATTTGATACAGTTAATCAAACTGCTCTCCAAACTCCACCAAACTCCATTATCAAATATCAAATATTATACATTTTTGCCATACAAAGGCTTATTTTGCTTGAGAGGTCTTTTAAGCGAAGGGATTCAAAAATAGACGCGCGAGGTCAAAAATTGGTAAGGCTAATTTCTATTGCAAATTATTCTCATATACCAATTCTCACCACGAAATATTGGAAATTAGTTTTTTTTACTTTATAAAGTTTTAGTTTTCATAGCAACGGTTAGATAGCGTAGGAATGCAAATATTGCTCCCTCCTATCCAAATTCTGCCAAACAATTTAGATTATCGAAATAGTTTTCTTCAGCGATTTTTGTCGCAAAATTCTGACGATTTCCAATATTTTTCCATATAACGAGTTTTCAAAATTAAATGTTATATGGAAAGTGGTCGAGAAAGTGGTCAAGAAAGAGGTCAAGAAAGTGGTCGGATTCGAATCATTTTCAATAGAATCTGCTACTGGACGTCAGCGTCCATACTTCATCAAAATGTCCAAGGGTGAACAATCGCATACATGGGGGACATCAGACAGACAGATGAACCGGCAAGTTTTAATAGATTCAGAAACTAATTCTGAACAACTTGGTATGATGGATGGTCGATGCGTCGTAAGTCTTTCTCAGTATTATTTACGTACGCGCAAACTTAATATACCATATACCATAAACAATATAAGATATAATTTATAATTTGTATATAATTTACTACCCAACTCAAATGCTCATTTGTAATTAATCTAAAATTGCAGCACACACTACGAGATATCTTGTAGCCGGCTGTTTTGATACGCACGCTTATTGTCATATATCGCGTAGTTGGCAGTGAATGGATTAAGAGAATGAGTCGATGACACGTTAACTTTAAGAGAGTAAGGCTTTAGACGGGAACGTTATCCTATGCTTATCTAACATAATTTTCCTAATAAAAATTTGTGGATAAATTCACCGAAATCAATTTATACAGCGCCCGTAAATTTTAATTATAGCTACGGCATTGGATGGGCCTTAAGAGTACAGCAGCTGAGTTTTTACAGTTCTTTAGCTTTTGAAGAAGGGACGGAAAAATAATCGACTTGAATCCCGAACGCCTGATACGGAAAATTGAAATGCATTCAAAGATTTCGCAAAGGGGAACGATACAAAACAAGGCCCCCAACAGTCAAAAATTTTCCCATTCCCCAGATTCGAGAAAACGTTTGAAGATGAAAGCAATGGTGCAGTAAACTTCTACTGAACAGTTTTTGCAAATAAAAGAAGAAAGCTCTTCAAGAACCGGCAGATAACTACATTTCAACAATTTTGGGTCTCCCAATGTCAGACACAATTACACAAGAGACTAATAAAGATTCATTTATGTATTATGTATAAGCGGAAGGCAAATGAAGGCATGTAACAAAAAATTTTAAATAGTAGGACCATCGGAAATTTGACAACCGGCAAAGGATTTAAAAAAGCGAAATATAGTAACTTTTCCTTTGCAGTCAAAATATTTATAAGAGAAGATTTCGTTTGAAGCAAACACCTAAAATAATATTCGAGGCCAAGGTGAGTTAAGAGAAACGCAATGAGGTTATCCAGGTGACAGCGATTAAGTAACACATCGCGATCTTTTAAAAAAATTGGATTGAAAATTAAAGATTAGATGGCTGAAATTCGGATGTCCTTCCTCGGAAAAAGGTTTAAGCCCAAGTTATCCCCGAAGTGTATCTTATTGAGATGCCAGGAACAATTCCACAAGTTAAAATTTACCAATTTATCTTACTTACTCATAAAGTTCAGCGGAGCAGGAGTTGCTTTTGAACGAATCCATACATTCCATTTATTGCGAATCGACCAAGTAATCAGAAGTGAATGTTTAGGATTACTAAGGAGTGACGATTTTATCGTTTAAAGATAACTGCGATAACTTTGATGGTTGACGTAATTGAACTTATATCTTACTAAAAAGTAAACGAAATAATCGTACATATTTTAGAACAATATTTAGAAATTCGTATATATTTTAGAAAGTTTCCTTTCGTTATTTTTATAGTATTTAAGGACTTTGTTGAACCACCATGAAGTGCTCCGAAATTGGCTGTCTAATCGGAACGGATGCGGAAATAGCTAGTTTTAACACATTGTAGAACAAGGACATTAGAGTTTCCATATTCCCAAAAGTAAAATCAATGTAATGCGTGATGTGTGATATGAGATTTAAGCAGTGCGATATTAGGTTTATTAAAATCATATTGTGTACTTGAGCAAGAAGAATTTAGCATCCTATTGTTATTCGTTGGCCATCTCGCTCGTAATGAAAGGACAAATCCTCCGAGGATCCAGGATCCTCGGGAAATTAAAAGGTGAACAGTGATCTACAACTATCTGTGGACAAAGCAAAGAGCGACCAATCTGCCGTTATAATAACGATTGTGGTTATATTGAGTTAGGTTTTGGTTAAAGAATTCATTAGAAAATACACTGTAACATGTTGAAGTGGGGGAAGTTACCTAAAACAGTAACCATATAATGAGGTTTTGACGTATTAGTCGTGGCGCAAATAAGGGTAACATGTTTCTTATAAGCATAAAAAGTTGTAATGTGTAAACTATATATTATTATTATATATACAGTGAAAGCTGCTTGTTCGCGCTTCCTTTACTCGCGGTTTCACTATTCGCGGGTTAAAAAAAAGCGACCCAATTCCCATATTCGCGGCTATAAATTTCTTTATTCGCGGATTTTTTGTGACTGGTTCCCGAATAGTTTTGTTTCTGAAGTTGAAACTTATTTAAGAATACAGAATTTAGACTTTAAAGCCCTTCTAGTTTTGGACAATGCACCAGGTCATCCTCGCGCACTTGAAACTATGCGTCCAAACATAAAAGTGACATTTTTACCTCCCAACACGACGGCTTTACTTCAACCTATGGACCAAGCAATAATCCAGGCCTTTAAGCTCTATTACAACCTTCAAAATCATAATGGATAATATGGAATGC